ACCCTAAAACCCAAACCCCAACCCCTAAACCCTAAAACCCCAAAAACCCTAACCCCAAACCCCAAATCCCTAAAGCCCTAAACCCTAAACCCCAAAATCCTAAGCCCCAAGACCCAAAGCCCTGAACCCCATAACCCTAAACCCCCAACACCCTAAACCTTGAACCCCTTAACCCTAAAACCCAAAGCCCCCAACATTCTAGACCTTAACCCCCAAAGCCCTAAACCCTAAAACCCTAACACCCTAAACCCCAAACACCCTAAACCTTAAGCCCCTGAGCCCTAAAACCCAAAGCCCCCAACATTAAAACAAGCTTCAAACCCCAAAACCCAAAACCAAAAAACCCTAAACCTTAAACCCCTAAACCTTAAGCCCCAAAACTCAAAACCCCTAAAACCCTCAACCTGAAGCCCCCAACATTCTAATCCCTAAGCCCCCAAAACCCTACACCCTAAAACCCTGAAGCCCAAGCCCTAAACCCCCAAAACGAAAAAAACCTACACCCTAAAACCCCGAAGCCCTAAAGCCCTAAACCTTAAGCCCTTACAGCCCGATACCTGTAGCACCTGGCGAGGTCCGAGGCGACATTGGCAGTGAGCCCTCGACCGTCTCTGGAGGCAGCCCTGAGATCTTGTTGGGGTTTGAGGTTTCGGGTTTAGGGTTTAGGGTTTAGGGTTTAGGGTCTAGGGTTTAGAGTTTAGAGTTTAAGGTTTAGGGTTTAGGGGTTCGGGTTAAGGGCTTAAGGTTTAGCCTTTCGGGCTTCTTTTCCCTTTTAGGGCTTTTGTTTCAGGGATTAGGGATTAGGGATTAGGGATTTGGGTTTAAGCTTTAAAGTTTAGGGTTTGCCATAGTTAGAATGGCGCAAGGGCGAAATATTTTAATTCGCGACAGTGGAAATTCGAGTGCATCGTAGTACGGCGATTGGCCGCTGCAGCCCCATAGTGGAGGGCCTAGGCGGCCAAACCACGCAAACCTATTCCTTTCTAGGGTTTAGCTCTAAACTCATTTCATGGTTTTCTCCTTTACTTTAGTAGCAAGGCAATACAAGGCAGGGCAGGGGAGGGAGGAGAGGAAGGGCGGGGCAGCAGGGCCAGGCAGGGCAGCACAGCCAGGGCAGGGCGGTCCAGGGGCTTGCGTGGGGCGGCCAAACAGGGCTCTAAGGTTTAGGGTTTAGGGCTTTAAGACTGGGTTGTTCAGGGCCCAGTTTAAAGGGTTTAGGGTTTCGGGCTTTGAGATTTAGGATTTGGGCCTAATAGGGTTTTGCGCCTATAGGGTTTAAGAAGGTGTACGGTTTATATGAGTTTTGGGTTTCAGCTTACAGGCTTTCGGTTTAATATAGGGGCCGTAAACATTAGAATAGGGTATTGGGGTCCACAAGACTATAAGTATATAATAAGGAGCCTCCAAAATAGAATTGCACGTGCTAATTATTTAGACTTCTATATTACACGGTCTAAGATTTTAAGGTCAAGGGTTGAGGGTTTCCCGGAGTTCGGAATTAAACCCTAAGCCCTGGTCACCTTAACCCGCAACTCGTAAACCCCTAAACTCTTGTCTTCTAGACCCGAAACCTTAAATCCTATAAGCTCCTATCGCGAAGCCTTAAACCCTAGACCCCAAACTCCTAAGCCTCCTAAACCCAAAACCCTAGACCCCAAGCCCCAAACCTAAACCCCCAAACCCCTAAAACTCCTAAACCCGCAACCTTAAACCCTAAAGCCTAAACC